TGATTAAATATCTTCTGATTAGTGAGTGATTAAATATCTTCTGATTAGTGAGTGAAGTGATTGAATATCTTCTGATTAGTGAGTGAAGTGATTAAATATCTCCTGATTAGTGAAGTGATTAAATATCTTCTGATTAGTGAAGTGATTAAATATCTTCTGATTAGTGAGTGAAGTGATTAAATATCTTCTGATTAGTGAGTGAAGTGATTAAATATCTTCTGATTAGTGAGTGATTAAATATCTTCTGATTAGTGAGTGAAGTGATTAAATATCTTCTGATTAGTGAGTGATTAAATATCTTCTGATTAGTGAGTGATTAAATATCTTCTGATTAGTGAGTGATTAAATATCTTCTGATGAGTGAGTGATTAAATATCTCCTGATTAGTGAGTGAAGTGTTTGGATATCTTTTGGTATGTGTAGTGGTGATTATGGTGGTGGTTGAATAACAGATTGGGTATGAGTATTTTCTATCTGGTACTGCTTTGTGTATTGTATTGTGATGGAGATTGTATACAGGTCTTGTTTTGGTTCTATGTTACCATTACTTGGAAGAGAATGTCATACCACTAGAATACACACTGCCTTCCTAATTTAGCTGGAGATACACTTCTGTCTATCGAGGAATCAGATTCAAGCTGCTGTGGCTGAAAGCAAGCTTACCTTATATCACACTGGCAATTTCTGTTCAGACAATATCAGTATTTAGTAGCACATTTACTTTCTGTACATGAATGTCTGATACTACCAGTCTCACTGTGCAGTAAATGTAGCCACACCCTGTCATCTGCAGGAATCAAAATCATGCCCTACGTTTTTGTAAACAATTGTTAGGGAAATTCTTACACTGGCTTATATCCCCTTGTGTGAATCTCTAGAATCAGACATATCAATGAAAGTGAATTGTTAAAGCTGAATTTTATTTATGTTTCTAATAATCTAGAGACAGGGGCCAGTCTATCTTGTTGTTATTAGTCTGACAGTTACTGGAAACATCCTCCTAATATATGTAAGTGGCACAAATTGTTTTGTCCCCATCCACCTATACCCCAGAACAGTTAGGACAGACTGTCAAGGAGATTGTGTTTATTTGGATGAGGATGAAGACCTGTTATTTAAGTACTTCACACTCATGTATATATACCAAACTGTAGGATTGGCTCACATCTGTATGAAAGGTAATATTTTCTTCAATATTTGTATTGTTGCAATAAACATTGTATATTATCTGTTAATGCATTATTTTACATTTCCTGATTATATAGTTACTTATATTACCTTGTAATTATTTCTAATTTCTTAGTCCAGTGTACTGTATTGTATCTGTTGTATAAATCTACAAAATACATTGTATCTGTTGTATAAATCTACAAGATAATTGTATCTGTTGTATAAATCTACACGATACATTGTATCTGTTGTATTAATCTACAGGATACATTGTATCTGTTGTATTTATCTACAAGATACATTGTATCTGTTGTATAAATCTACAAGATACATTGTATCTGTTGTATAAATCTACAGGATACATTGTATCTGTTGTATTAATCTACAAGATACATTGTATCTGTTGTATTAACCTACAAAATACATTGTATCTGTTGTATTTATCTATAGGATACATTGTATCTTGTATTTATCTACAGGATACATTGTATCTGTTGTATTAATCTACAGGATACATTGTATCTGTTGTATTAACCTACAAGATATTAGTGAATATCTCCTGATTAGTGAAGTGATTAAATATCATTGTATCTGTTGTATTAATCTACAAGATACATTGTATCTGTTGTATTTATCTACAGGATACATTGTATCTTGTATTTATCTACAGGATACATTGTATCTGTTGTATTAACCTACAAGATACATTGTATCTGTTGTATTTATCTACAGGATACATTGTATCTGTGTATTTATCTACAGGATACATTGTATCTGTTGTATAAATCTACAAGATACATTGTATCTGTTGTATAAATCTACAAGATACATTGTATCTGTTGTATTAATCTACAAGATACATTGTATCTGTTGTATTTATCTACAGGATACATTGTATCTTGTATTTATCTACAGGATACATTGTATCTGTTGTATTAACCTACAAGATACATTGTATCTGTTGTATTTATCTACAGGATACATTGTATCTTGTATTTATCTACAGATACATTGTATCTGTTGTATAAATCTACAAGATACATTGTATCTGTTGTATAAATCTACAAGATACATTGTATCTGTTGTATTAATCTACAAGATACATTGTATCTGTTGTATTTATCTACAGGATACATTGTATCTTGTATTTATCTACAGGATACATTGTATCTGTTGTATTAACCTACAAGATACATTGTATCTGTTGTATTTATCTACAGGATACATTGTATCTTGTATTTATCTACAGGATACATTGTATCTGTTGTATAAATCTACAAGATACATTGTATCTGTTGTATAAATCTACAAGATAATTGTATCTGTTGTATTAATCTACAAGATACATTGTATCTGTTGTATAAATCTACAAGATACATTGTATCTGTTGTATAAATCTACAAGATACATTGTATATGTTGTATTAATCTACAAGATAATTGTATCTGTTGTATTAATCTACAAGATACATTGTATCTATTGTATTAATCTACAAGATACATTGTATCTGTTGTATTAATCTACAAGATACATTGTATCTGATATATGACTACAGAATACTTTGTTGTTCTGAGTTACAGGATACCCTGTATCTGATGTATTACTACAGAATACTACGTTATATCTAGTGCCTGGTAAGGGATATAAAGACATTACACAGCCAAGTTTAATGGAGAAGTTAGAGGAATGGAAAACTACATGAGTGGATTTAAATATCAGTAATTTGCTATTCTATTGAAAGTCAGCAGTCAGATGAAATTGGAGCTGGAAGGTGTTTCCATGTAATTTGACTCTGTTATTACTTCTCAAGGCAGAATTAGGACATGAAGGGGCTACTATAATGGAACAAGGTGGTCATTGTAAATATTCACAGCTTCCTACCAGGAATAAACAGAGTGAACCATGAGTGACCAATGGGTGTTGTACTGACTTGACCAGAGATCATCATTATACATTGATTAGTGGTGTCACTGGTCATTATTTACTGACATAGGGTCCAGGTACCAGTTTAAAGTGTCACTGACAACAAGTGACCATTGTGGATATACAAAGGTTAGGGGAAACAAATAACAAGTCTCCTGGACACACAAAGGCCAGAACATGTGTTATGTGTCTATCCTTTTATAGGTAGCTTTGTTTCTATCCAAGTATTTCTCAACTTCATGAAAATAAATAATATTTTATATATCAAAGTCACAAGACATCATAGTTTTAAGTGTCAAGGTGTACAGTATGTTTTAAATGTTTCTTGTGATAAAATTACTGTCATAAAATGTCATTTGTTTGGCCTCACAAGCATTGACAAGTAATTGGAGAGGTTGTAATGTTGTAAGTCTTTGTGATTTAGGAAATACAATTACTGGTTAAGCTAACAGAGCTTTGGCTGAGGTAATTACAGGACAGAGAATATCATTGGTTATAATGATAGAGGTCAGTCCTAGATCAGATCTGCTGATAATATTATAGAAGCAGGTTAGTGATATCAGTATACCAGGGCTTTCATCAGAGATATGTAGCCAGGTTTTTCTACTCCTCAATTATCTATTGATTATGAGTTCAGCAAAACAATAATGGTATGTATATGTAAGGTGAGTTCTCAGGTGAGAATTATCTGTGTACTGTAAGAATTAGTAACGATCATTGGATGTATTGGCAGTGCTACAAGTCTAGGTCAATATATAATACACATACCCACAGGCCTACATGGTGAAACATTACATGTTTATGACCATATATGGGCAGGTTGGTATACTGATCACTTGAGGTGAAAACAGGCTGTTGTAATTGTTAATAATCAGTGACTGATTGTGTTTGATCAATGTCATCTACCTGCACAGGTAAGTGCCGTAGTAAGTCATGACCTGTTGTAGGGAATCAAAATACTACAGGTTCATATATATATAACACAGGACCTTCAGATCACATGTATGTTTTGATCAGAAACCTTTTGTGTATAGAAATATAGGCTTGAAGATGTATTACTTTGTATTCCTGTGGTGTAGAGTTGAGATAGGGCTGTGTGTATGAAGACTTCCTGGGCTGGACTGATGTGATACCACCAGGCCACAGGACTTATAAGACCGCCAGTGCTAAAACATGGCAAGGATTTATTGGTTAATAAGTTCTTCTATAAATTACTAACTCATGTTGAAGTATCAAACCACTTGTAGAGATTCACCTTGCTGATGATGAGTCAACTACTGTGAAGTTCACATGGAATCAGTGGAGGAGGTTTCTGCGGGGCATTGATTGGATGGTGTATCAAGCCGTGACTGTTGTTTATACCACACAGTAGTTACACCATGCTTGTAAATATTGAATAGTGAACTTCCACACACCAAAACACAATGTTAATTTCAGTTTGAAAACAAGATGCTATGGCTTTGATTGTGTCTGGGAAACTGTAATTTGACATCAGACAGAAATTTATTGTGACAGCTATGCTGTAGATTGGATTTAGTGGAGTTGGATGTACCACTTGTATTGTTCCAGTAATGGAGAAGAAACGAACTGTGGTGAAAATGGTAAACACATTCAGATGACCATCGTTTAACAAAGAATCAAAGATGGCTTTGTGAACTTAGTGGCCAAGTGGTGTAGTATCATTTGTGATATATTAGAATTATCAATCTTGCCCCTTGGCAGAAGATTAAAAGCAAGTTCTCAATGTTGTGTATGTTTTGTGTATGTACAAGATTAGGTTGTCTGTTATGTAAGTAGGCCTTGGAACACCTGTCTTGGACTGGACAAACGGGTAATGAATACATACACCAATCTGGCTGTTTGTGATAGTGAGATGATTCCTTACGTTGTATATTTGTGTTTTTCAGCCACCACCTGCTGAAGGGAAACCTGGCGGTCAGGACTCAAGCTTAGAAGCAGATTTGACTGAGGTAAGTAAAATACTGTCTACTTAGTCATCTGGGTGCTCTTTCCATAGCAATATAAATCAGGAATTTGTCAACAAAATTTTACAAGTCCTGTCATTCAAAAAATGTTCAAATTGTATTTGTTTTTTTCGATGTTTTCATTATTATATACACCATACTAAAAGCATTCAATTTTTTTCCTGAAATGCCTGCAAGAATTGAAGAACAATTTATGGTAGGCAAAATTTCTCTAGTATATACCAAATGATCTCCATAAAGAACACTTAAGTGGGCAAGACATCTAAATCAGTTAGTGTATCAGAAATCAGTCTGGAAAAAAATAGATTAAGACTCGATTGTTGAATAACATGGATATATTGATATTACAAGGTTTTACTGGATAATGATGGAAGTGTTACAAGGTTTTACTGGATAATGATGGCAGTATTACAAGGTTTTACTGGATAATGGTGGCAGTATTACAAGGTTTTACTGGATAATGATGGCAGTATTACAAGGTTTTACTGGATAATGGTGGCAGTATTACAAGGTTTTACTGGATAATGATGGCAATATTACAAGGTTTTACTGGATAATGGTGGCAGTATTACAAGGTTTTACTGGATAATGGTGGCAGTATTACAAGGTTTTACTGGATAATGATGGCAGTATTACAAGGTTTTACTGGATAATGATGGCAGTATTACAAGGTTTACTGGATAATGATGGAAGTGTTACAAGGTTTTACTGGATAATGATGGAAGTGTTACAAGGTTTTACTGGATAATGATGGCAGTATTACAAGGTTTTACTGGATAATGATGGCAGTATTACAAGGTTTTACTGGATAATGATGGCAGTATTACAAGGTTTTACTGGATAATGATGGCAGTATTACAAGGTTTTACTGGATAATGGTGGCAGTATTACAAGGTTTTACAGGATAATGGTGGCAGTATTACAAGGTTTTATAGGATAATGATGGAAGTGTTACAAGGTTTTACTGGATAATGGTGGCAGTATTACAAGGTTTTACTGGATAATGGTGGCAGTATTACAAGGTTTTATAGGATAATGATGGAAGTGTTACAAGGTTTTACTGGATAATGATGGCAGTATTACAAGGTTTTACTGGATAATGATGGCAGTATTACAAGGTTTTACTGGATAATGATGGCAGTGTTACAAGGTTTTACTGGATAATGGTGACATTGTTACAAGGTTTTACTGGATAATGATGGCAGTATTACAAGGTTTTACTGGATAATGATGGCAGTATTACAAGGTTTTACTGGATAATGATGGCAGTATTACAAGGTTTACTGGATAATGATGGCAGTATTACAAGGTTTTACTGGATAATGATGGCAGTATTACAAGGTTTTACTGGATAATGATGGCAGTGTTACAAGGTTTTACTGGATAATGATGGCAGTATTACAAGGTTTTACTGGATAATGATGGCAGTATTACAAGGTTTTACTGGATAATGATGGAAGTGTTACAAGGTTTTACTGGATAATGATGGCAGTATTACAAGGTTTTACAGGATAATGGGGTTTTACTGGATAATGATGGAAGTTACTGGATATGGGATAATGGTGGCAGTATTACAAGGTTTTATAGGATAATGATGGAAGTGTTACAAGGTTTTACTGGATAATGGTGGCAGTATTACAAGGTTTTACTGGATAATGGTGGCAGTATTACAAGGTTTTATAGGATAATGATGGAAGTGTTACAAGGTTTTACTGGATAATGATGGCAATATTACAAGGTTTTACTGGATAATGATGGCAGTATTACAAGGTTTTACTGGATAATGATGGCAGTATTACAAGGTTTTACTGGATAATGATGGCAGTATTACAAGGTTTTACTGGATAATGATGGCAGTATTACAAGGTTTTACTGGATAATGATGGCAATATTACAAGGTTTACTGGATAATGATGGCAGTATTACAAGGTTTTACTGGATAATGATGGCAGTATTACAAGGTTTTACTGGATAATGATGGCAGTATTACAAGGTTTACTGGATAATGATGGAAGTATTACAAGGTTTTACTGGATAATGATGGAAGTGTTACAAGGTTTTACTGGATAATGATGGCAATATTACAAGGTTTTACTGGATAATGATGGCAGTATTACAAGGTTTTACTGGATAATGATGGCAGTATTACAAGGTTTTACTGGATAATGGTGGCAGTATTACAAGGTTTTACAGGATAATGATGGCAGTATTACAAGGTTTTACTGGATAATGATGGCAGTATTACAAGGTTTTACTGGATAATAGTGGCAGTATTACAGTTTACCTGGACAAATGGAGAAAGTACAACATAGTTACACAAATTGCTAATGTTGTAATCACTTTTTGAGTATTTTTTACTGTTTACAAAAAGTTGAAGTGAGAGTAATATGATAAAGGGTAATTTTTCCTCCTACTTAAAGCAGAGAATCCATTCGAATGAATAGAGGCACATTTACTGGGATATTCATACCCACAGTATTAAGTGATAAAGAACAGAAGTTTAGTGGTGTGAATGATAACAGGTACTGTGTAAGTGAACAGAACTTGAACCTGTGTGGCTGGGTTTTGTAAAGTGGAGGAAAGATATTAGGAGATGGTGTGGTAGCTGATATCAATTAAGGATTTGATGTGGTTTTGTGGCCTTCTGGTGAAAGATAAAAATGTTTTAATTCCAAATTGAAAATAGGTATAAGATGGTTTTTTATCAAAAGCCCTTTTCTCTGCCAACATAATTTTATGGCTGACATGAATAAGCTAGGTAATATAACATTGTACGTCTGTTGTAATTTGTTCTCACAATTTCAGTGACCTAGTCCTTCTGGTTCTCCACTGTCATTATTATCACTAGCAACATATTATCCTTTACCATTATATAGTAATATCATTATACTCAAGAAACATAAGGATATTTTAAGAAGTATTTCCTAATAGTAGGAGACTTCAGTCTGTTAATAACTGTTTGCAGTGTACAGGACTCCAAATTTTGTAGGTTTTGGAAAACTGATTGAAAGCAGATGTCAGACAGAACTTGTCAAGTAATTATTTTATTCTTTTTTTTTCCCCAAAAAATGTCGAACTACCTTACTATGGAGATGTTTAAGCTAGATAGAGTAAGGCTGGGATTTTAATGGCTTCCCATAGGGTCAACAGACACAGAAGTACTACAATGGTCCCTCACATGTTTCAACTTGGGAGAATTTATGGTGCATTTGAGTTTCTGTTTCAAATTCACTGTAAATTCAAATAACCAGGTTATTTGGTATGTAAACTAAGGCATGTGGTTTACTTATACAGGCAGTTGTCCTAACCAGGCCATCCTATTCTACCCAGGACAGGCTGACCCACATACTTGCCAAGTTGTGCTATCTTTGGCAATGGCAAGTTGTCCTATCCTGGACGAGCTGTCCAACCCAGAGTAGGCTGTTGTGCCAAAAGCATACTGTCATATCTAGTGGAAACTTTCCTAATCAGACAACGTGACTGTCCTAGACAGGCAGACCTAAATACTGGGTAGACTGTTCTAACCATGGCCTACCTGGACAAGCTGTCCTACCAAGAGAAGGCAGTAGTACTCATAACAGACTCCCCTATATACTGATAGCAGGAAAGTCTATTGTACTCATGATAGGCAGTCCTACATTAGGAGACTATTGTACTCATAATAGGCAGTCCTACATTAGGAGGCTGTTGTATTATGGTAGACAGTCCTACATAAGGAGGCTATTGTACTCATGATGTAGACAGTCCTACATTAGGAGGCTGTTGTATTATGGTAGACAGTCCTACATTAGGAGGCTGTTGTATTATGGTAGACAGTCCTACATTAGGAGGCTGTTGTACTCATAATAGACAGTCCAACATTAGGAGGCTATTGTACTCATGATGCAGACTGTCCTACATTAGGAGGCTGTTGTATTATGGTAGACAGTCCTACATTAGGAGGCTGTTGTACTCATAATAGACAGTCCTACATTAGGAGGCTATTGTACTCATGATGTAGACTGTCCTACATTAGGAGGCTGTTGTATTATGGTAGACTGTCCTACATTAGGAGGCTGTTGTATTATGGTAGACTGTCCTACATTAGGAGGCTGTTGTACTCATAATAGACAGTCCAACATTAGGAGGCTATTGTACTCATGATGCAGACTGTCCTACATTAGGAGGCTGTTGTATTATGGTAGACAGTCCTACATTAGGAGGCTGTTGTACTCATAATAGACAGTCCTACATTAGGAGGCTATTGTACTCATGATGTAGACAGTCCTACATTAGGAGGCTTTTGTACTCATGATGTAGACAGTCCTACATTAGGAGGCTATTGTACTCATGATGTAGACAGTCCTACATTAGGAGGCTATTGTACTCATGATGTAGACAGTCCTACATTAGGAGGCTGTTGTATTATGGTAGACTGTCCTACATTAGGAGGCTGTTGTATTATGGTAGACAGTCCTACAAAGATCATGTTGTCCTACCCAAGACATATAAGTTGTTACAGTGAGTGTTACAGGGAGAGGTTTTCCTGTGCCCTAGGCACTGTATATGATTACATGGCAGAATTTGTTTTCATCACCAATGAATTCAAAATTCTATGAATTTTAATAGTAAATGTGATTCTTGAGGGTCTGTCAGTCTTTGAATTAATTTTTGAAAAGTGTTGATCTATCTCGTTAATATGATTGCTGATGTATTTTTTTTTTATATATATTGTAGGATGTTCTCTTCAACACCAGCTGGCAAGATTCTGTAGGAGGCACAAAATCGTCAAAGACTGCTAATTCTCCAGGTATGTAGTGCAATAACTAGGTGTTTTGTACACAACTTTTGGCAGCTGGTTTCACGGCGTTTCCTCTTATTACACAACTGTTTTTACATCAGGTACTCTGTAAGTTGTGGTTGGCTTGCTACCACTGTGGATAGCAACCTGTTATCATGATTATTCTCACACCATCCCTAAGTCCAGGAAAGGCCAATGCTTCCTGGCAGTTTCCTGTTAATATCCTTTTTATGGAATGATCACATTGGTGTATTGTGCTCTTGGAACCCTGTTGTCACAAGGTTTGCCAGCTTAATAACATGACTGTATCATTGTTTTAAAGTCTGGTTTGTATGTTTTTCTAAGATCTGTTCACCAAGATCTTCTGACATAGTCTGCACATCATTATGATAAGCATTTACAAACAAACAATTTAAAGACAACTGAAAAGTTTTATACTGTTAAACTAACAATGCTTCATATTTATAGAAATCTATGAGATATTGACTTATCCCACTTCTAGCCTAGAGGTCAGTCAGATTTACCTACTAAATGACCATTTAATAATCTGACCTGCTTTGTAGTCAGTAGATGTTGACGAGTCGATGGGCTGTTAATATCACCAATCTACCCAGGATCCTTTCCAATTAGGGAAGGCCAGAAATTAGTATAAACATGTTGATCATCATTTTACCATTAACGTTGGTTAAATTTTATCTTACAAACAAATCGACCAGAAATCTGAGACATAGAAATAGGGGTTAGTCCACTTCTAGTCACAGCAGTCTGAAACATCAGAATAGGGTGTATGTTACATTGACTGTAAATCACAGAAATTTGTGACATTAAAATATGGCATGATGTGGTATGTTGACCTCAAGTCACACAAATCCAGGACATTGGAATATGGTTTAATATTTATGTTGACCTGGAGTCACAGAAATCCATGACATCAGAATATGGAGTATGTCATGTTGACTTTTAATGAATTTGCTTGGATATTTTCAGTAACCCCAGTGAAAGATAATTGGTCATTATTTGTAATTATGTCTGGAATAAACAGCCCACATATAAAAAATAATATCAAAATCAGCTCCAGGTAAAGCTGTATATCATTGTACTAGACGTTCAACTGATATACATGTAAAACACTTCAGAGATTATTTGTTAAACCTTATACTGAAAAAAAGTAATACAAAGTACTAGGGAGATACTTATCAGTACCTTTTATTTCTTCCGTTAGTATCTGTTCTTGGATCACTCCATTAACGTTGGAAACTGTCGTAAGTCAGTCATGTGTGTGATTTTCCCATAGGACAGAATATTATCGATAGCATTAGATAACAGTTCTAAATGGATGTGTCTGTCATGTGATCAATATTCAAGTTTGCATTCTGATAGAAGTGTGACTCTAAATGTCTATCCAGGACCAGTTTTTCCCAAGATAAGGCTTCCGCGATCATTATGTAGGGGACTGGAAACTTAACAAGGGAGTTGATAAAATTTCCTGTGAACTGATCCGTGTACTGTGTCTATTCCAGTGTTTATCATAGCTGTTAAGTTTATACTCAATCTTCTCTCTTGTTGTTACTTCTCAGTATTTATGAATCCAGTCATTGATACAGACTGATGGTAAATAGTGTTTGCCATGGAAGTCCGCACAGAACATCAACAGACAGGAATAGTTGAAACAGAAAATGTATACTTTCACTTGTCCTTTCACTTTGACTTTTAATCCAATTTTCAAGTAAATAATTGTGTAACTAGATATGTGGATGTTTGAGTAACATCCATTTGGTAAGGCATGAGGAAATCCGGAAGCTGCAGCGACTTAAAAATAGTAGTGACAAAGTCTAGGCTGAGATGTTGTGGTTACTTTGGTGTCGCATTCCATGTGTGATTACTTGATAGATAATGTTTATTGTCTGATCTATCCAACATGCTTTTAATGAAAGGACACAAGCATACATGTTTGTACATGTAGTTATCAGCATACCTCATTTATCTATTTACATGTTTCTTCTCAAATATACAACTCACCTATTTTATCTTTAACTGCTTTTCTTTATTGTTTATTTTTAGAGAGAAAAATTTAAATAAATTATTTCAAAATAGATTACATTTTGAGAAAAGGTGTTTAATAATACTGTAAGACAGAGATATTGGGAAATCATTTTATAAAAGCATGGTACCTTGTGTGTTATTATATTGGTATAAACAAATGGCTTGTTTTCATCAGATGGTCAACATTACTGTGTAAATGGGAAACTGGTAGACTTGAGAGAGGAGCAGCAGAAAACCTCTGTGTGTGTTTGTCTGCAGGGACAATTTTTATTGGAGAGCATTTGTGTTACGATAATTACAGTCAGTGATGTAAACACTGACATCAGTCTTAATCAGGAAGCGATGGGGGTGATGGAAATGGCCGGGAGTGTCTCCTGGGCATATCTTAATCAATACCATTGTTATTCAAAAGATTTCATGAAACACAGATCATACATATTGAATGTACCCCAGGCTTTATAAGTTTGCATTCTACACAGCGTCTGTTGAATTTTGTCCTTGTCTTGCCATGAATGTGGTACAGAAGCATGACTAAGGTGTTACTTTTCCACGAGAGTCCAGATCCAATTGGAAAAAAGTTGCATATGAATCATTTTCTCAGGAAGTATCAATGCTGTAGTTACTAAATTTAGTATTAAGTTTAATTTTAGTCTTGTAAATTAAATGAGAATAAATAATGAGATTTGGCGTAATGAAAAGTAAATAAATCTTGTGTAGACCCGGCCATCTACCACAATCCAGGAGTAAGAAGAGAAATATGAATTGTAATTGTTTTATTCATTCAAAGAAGAAAAGTTATATAGAACCTTTCAAAACTTATTTACAAACTCTCATTTTGCACATGTTGTAAAGTGTATTTATGTCAAATACTTGAATGTACTCTTTAAAATTACAGATGACAGATATTGTTTTGTCACTTTCTAAAGTTAAATCCCAGTAAAGAAAATATTCAGAGAAATTTCTGGTCTTGTACAAGTACACAGTCACTTTTGTCAGTTGTCTGTTTATTAAAACTGAATTGAACTTCTCATTAAGTGGGTAGTTACAGGTGACTTACTTCATAGCTCATGGCACTATTCCTTCCCAGGCAGTCAATCTCTAAGGTGTAGAAATTAAATGTAAACACTTCACCTGGAAATGAGTAAATGAACAAGGTGTGTCATACTTTGTAATTGATATTCCCAATAGTATGTATTTTAGATAACTGTTACATAATTTATAAAAGTAATATTGACTCCACCTTTATGTACGAGGGCTTAAAGTTAAGGCATTTCGCACTTGGTTTATGTAATTATGGCCTATTATGGGAAATACTTAGTAAAGACTTTATCAAGTTTTGTTCAGAAATCTTATTTTGTGACATTCATGATCTTGTACATAGGCTTAAATTCCTAAATAACAAAAAGTACCTGGTATTTTAAAGTATTAACAGTTCTATTGTTGAAAAAGGGGTACATGTTAAATGACAGTGTCAGTTGCTGTGAACTACAAAGGAAGACATATTGATTATTTCTTTGTGATGATACTTTTTTTTCTGTTTGATTATTTAGAGTTTGTGTATATAAGTATGGGATTTAGACAGATTGAGTTTACCTGTAATTTTCCAGTCTGGTTGCATTAACTCACCTGTACACTGTTGTCAATACCATATACAACATACTTACCTGATTTTCTCCACAGGTGTTGTGATGGATATTGAAATTATGTTAAAATAAACAGATATTTTCTGACAATAGGTACGGCAGTCGACATGGATTTAAATGCTGTGAAGTTAGACACTAAGATGCTGGACAGTGAGGCTGCTAAACACAAGATTTCTGTCAAACCAAGGTCGCGTCGGGCATCCAGTCAACGTGCCAGGACGGTAAGTGATTCCCACTCTCAATACAAGGCATTTAGAAGGTACAGAATATTTATTGTGGCATGCTAAGTTACACAAGGACAATTTCTTTTCTGCAATATGCAATTTCTTTGAATGACAGTTCATTAGAAACTGATATGTGGGTTTTAGTTTTCATTGATTTTTGAGACTTAATATTACTTACTTTTTTATCGCGAGTGTAAACTTAGCAGTCCTGTACTGAAATAAGGACTTTCAGAGAATATCGCAAGTGTAGACTTAGCAGTCCTGTACTGAAATTAGGACTTTCAGAGAATATTGCAAGTGTAGACTTAGCAGTCCTGTACTGATATTAGGACTTTCAGGGAATATTGTAATTGTAGACCTAGCAGTCCTGTACTGAAATTACAACTTTCAGGGAATATTGTAATAGTAGACCTAGCAGTCCTGTACTGAAATTAGGACTTTCAGGGAATATTGTAATAGTAGACCTAGCAGTCCTGTACTGAAATTACAACTTTCAGGGAATATTGTAATAGTAGACCTAGCAGTCCTGTACTGAAATTAGGACTTTCAGGGAATATTGTAATTGTAGACTTAGCAGTCCTGTACTGATATTAGGACTTTCGGGGAATATTGTAAGTGTAGACCTAGCAGTCCTGTACTGAAATTTGGACTTTCGGGGAATATTGTAAGTGTAGACCTAGCAGTCCTGTACTGATTACTTACAACCATGTTGATCATTCCCTGACACATCAGGATTTCTGAGGGTACTGTTGTTAAGTTTACAAACTTAATGTATTCAATGATAGGCATTATATGGTGTTAAATTCCAGTTTAATCTGTGGTCATGTTATTTCCTTTTGTGTGTGTTGGGTAGGAGGGGAGCCTTAAGCCTAATAAATTAGGTTAATTTCAAATAATTTGAGGACATTGCGAAATTGCATTGATACAGTAATGACAAAATTAAATCTGTATATATAAATATAAATCAGATGTATTCACATCTTATTTGATAAAAAAAAACATGTTTTGTATTTATTGTAACTTTTACTCATAGATTGTTTTATTCATTAAGCAACAGAAAGAGACATTATCTGATAATTTAATTTCCAATCTTAAACAGAAACCATCAGGTGGAGCAAGTGCTTTGCCACTTCTGAAGGAGGAATCTCCACCTAAGGAAGTTGCATCACCAGTAGAAACAGTAGCAGCACCACTGGAAGATCAGAAACCAGTGGAGCCAAAGCCTACCAAAGAACAGGTCAAGGTCATTGATGTAGAAGCCAAGGTTGCTCCAGTGGAGAGCACTTCAACCAAACCAGAAGAACAGGAACCTGTGATTACTATCAAGGATAATAAAACTAGTATCCAGATCGTAGGTGTGTACAGCGATATGTGAACTACAAAACATTTACACTTCCAGTAGATTGAATATACCAAACTTTTTATATGGTTGTCAAGTTTTTAAATTAATTTAGGACAATTCATACAAACTTGGAAATCTTTTAAATGGTTTTGATATACCTATTAGTATTCATTAATTCTGTTCATAACCAGTTCTGTTTAGTCAAGATCACAAAAATGTGCTGTTTGTTTCTAGGTAAGGATAAGCCTAATGCTGAAGTCCAGACAGTTAGTCCGTCATTGGAGGCGGACACTGGAGGAAGCCCTAGCAAGCGATGGAGCATGACAGAGAGTGATAAGGACAAAATGCCTGGTCTTCCTGTCAGTCCTGTGGCTCTGGGTGCTGTCAAACTCAGAACCAGGCCTCGTCCTAAGAGTCTGATTGAGCCCCCACAACTTCCTCAGCCCAGTGGGGATGAACTGGCTAAGGCTTTCAATAAACGCCTGTCTGTTCGAAAGGAAAGAACAAATGATGAATTCTCAGAAGATTTCTTGGAAGTTAAAAAGGAATCAGTTGATGTAACACCAGTTGTGCAGCCATCTGATGGCAAAAAGACATCACCTACAGGTGCTGCCCCTTCAACAGGGGGAATAACTTACGTGTTGAAGAAGGAACCCTTAAGAAAGACATCATCATCAGAGAGTGCTAAAACTCCGCAGTTGAAGGCAGTTTCTGAGGAGCCAAATAAAGATGACCAGTCAAAGCCCAAGCCGACTGAAACTGAAGCAGAATCTGTGAGAGTTGAAGTGCCCAAGAAAGACATTGTACCTCCTTCTGTACAGGAAAAAAGTAAATCTTTGTCAAACAAATTGGCTTCACCGCGCGAAGAGTATAGGTTGAAAAGACAGTCCCGCAGTAAGACGTTGCCTGTGCAACCAGTTTCACAGGAGTTCTTGGATGAAAAGGCTAATGAGAATGCTGCAGCTACCAGTAATTTAAGCCAAAGTGTAAAACAGGAAGCTTCAGACAATAAAACAGACATGCTGTCTTCTTCTCTGTCTAAAAAGCCAGAGCCAAAACGTTCATCTTTGAAAGAGACAAGTAATGCTGCTGAACCTTCATGGTTTGCTTTGGCCAGGCGGAAACAGGCTGACTCAGAAAAAGAAGAAACCAGTGATACAAAGAAGGAAAATTCACCACCTGTTGGGGCTAAAGTTAACCCATTACCATCCTATGCAGGAGCCAAAACAACCCCTTTACAATCCTCAATAGGGGCTAAACCTACACCATCACAATCCTCTGTGGGAGCTACACCTACACCTTCACAGTCCTCTGTGGGGGCAAAACCTACACCTTCAAAGTCCTCTGTGGGGGCTAAGCCTACACCTTCACAGTCCTCAATAGGGGCTAAACCTACACCTGCACAATCCTCTGTAGGTGTTAAGCCTGCCCCTGTATCAGCAGGGGAAAAGCCTTCTCCAGGACAATCATCAATAGGAACAAAAACAAACCCTTTGGCGGGTAAAAAACCAAGCCCTACAGATACTACAAATACCTCTAGTGCTACCAAGGAGGGGTCAGTACGGAGCTTTAGAGACAAAATGGCTGAAAAGTCTGAGAGTGCCCCCTTTAACAGGGGCAGTGTTAAATCCTCAGGGGTCTCTAGTAAGGAAGAAAAGGAGAAAATAAATGGGAACAAAAAAGCTCCTGAAACAAAGAAGGAACCAGAACCTGTACAAAGGACACTGTCAAATAGATCAAAGTTTGAAGCAAAGAGTTCTACAACTGGCAGTGGTAGTCAAGCATCAATGTCTTCCTCGTCTTCTTCAACTTCTTCTGTTCCAGCATGGAAAGCAAATTTGGCGAAGAAGAAGGAAAAGGAACCACAAATCAAAATAGAAATCATTGAAAAGAAAACTGAGAAACCAGTTATTCCAAAGAAACCTACCAAGGCCTTGGAGGAGGTAAGTGATTTCTATACATACACACTTGTCATTGGCTTTCTGTGGCAAATAGAACTCAAAAAATCAAAGACATGTTTATAAATACCCCCAAAAAATGTTACTTGACACTTTTACATTCCTTAGGTCATTGTCAATGTCAAGGTCAGTGTATAAAGTCAAATGTGAAGTCCAGCTTGATAATTTCTTGTCCCAGGCTTAACTTTACCATTGTTGCTTTGAATGAAAGTAGTAAAATGCAAAACAAGTATGGGTCATTGTCTGAGCTCAGATTCAGAATTCAGATTTCAGAAACATTTTTATCGTTACAGAGATCTGTATGAAATTTCACATACATTGTTTCTGTATTTTGTTCTGCATGTCACTCTCATTGATCTCAAGGTCATGGTCAGGGGTCATATTTGGCTGAATAAGTTCAACACATCTGTATGATACTTTTTTACAATCACTGAGACAAAAGGGATCATCAGATCTGACAAAATATGCTCCTATTACATGTGATTGTCCATTTAATTAAATTGTGATTTTGAAAACAATTAAGATAATATTTTGATATTTTGTCAATTTACTGTTGTTACAATAGCAATTTTCAAAGTCTGCAGAATGTCTATGCTTATGTGAAGCCGCTTTATAAATTTGGCTGATTTTACAACTTAGTTTTGCCTGTGGTTTGTCTTAGCTATTCAGCGTCCATAGTTAAGAACTTTCTGCTCTTTTATGATGGGGATTCAAGATGTGTGAAACAAAAATACCTGAAAATATTAGATAAGATATTAAGTGTTGAAATATATGCTGTATACACACAGGAAAACCTCTAATTAGAATCTGGAAAAAGATTTCCTTACTGAAAGCTATAATGTTTAAGTTCTGATATGGGGTAGTCGTCTCAAACAAATTCCTTAATTGATAGCTTAGTTATTTATCATAATAAAAAAGAAAAAAAATGTGAATATTATACAACAGGCTTAAAAACTAATTAATTTCAATTGCTGCAGGACAGATCCCATAGGACATGTAAGTAGTGTATCCGCGTGGCATGCTGCCAGATCCCCTGTTTTACTACCCCACTTTTGCTACTCTAGGGTATGGGTTAAAATTAAATGAACTTTGAAGATACAAATATTATATCGTATCCAGAACTCTATAACTTGGGTATTGCCAGAGTTTAACCATAGGATCAGTAGCTCCAGTTGGGAGCATGTAATTCCTCCATATCACATTTACTCCTACACTCATGCATTTGGCACAGAGGAAGGCTAATTGATTTCATTTACATTTGTATCATGAAAGGATTTTAAACTGCAGTAAAGAAATTAATGTTTATTGAGAAATGAATCTGTCTCGAATCCTCTACAACACAGTCAGGGATTGATCATTAGTTTAAGAAAACCAAGGGAAACTACTCCCAAGAATCCATAAAACATCTACTGACTACATAACAGAGTTATGATTGAGGAAAATAAATTGGGTTGTGTAACATGTATGTGTAAAAATTTGCCCTTGTTTCCTTTCCTTGTTTTTATTGCTGATGTTTTGTTGTGATTCTTTATTCATTATGTGCATGTCTCAATAATATTTGTGTTTCAGTTATGTCAAACTCTCTGTCTTATATGTCAAGAGTTTTAGGTGTGGGAGGATTGGAGTAGGGATATAAAATGGGAAATAGGGGGGAGAATGTTTATCCAGGAAAATGGAGGGTTTTCATTACCTTTTTTCTTCCAAAATGTTAGCAGTTTTTCTGATACCATATGCATGCTGATTTTTTATTTTGATATTGTATATCCTTTTAATGACAGTTTCTATATTTTTCAGCTATCTGTGTAAAAAAACCTCTTTTTGTTTTCATAGATATTGTAAAAGGAATTATTTATCTCAAATTAGCTAATTAGGGTTTGTATTCTAGATCATAGAGTTAGAAAGGAACATCTGGGTTTGTTTGGACTAAACATAAAACAATACAGTCAAAAAGGAAATTATTTGATTAAATATCCGTGTAAATTAAAGAAAATGGACAAAAGATAAAAAATGTCTTGTTGGATTTTCCTAATCATAACAATCAAACACTAATATACTGGTACACAATTGTACATAGGAAACATTGAGTAACATCTAATTAGGAGTAAAATGTTACATTAGTATGTTTATTACTTACTGAACAAGCACGAGGAATGATTGAGATTGACATGTTGCAGCTATTGGAACTTGTCACAGACCTAGAACATCAATGTGTTGATGACAGCATATTTTTGTTGTTACAGAACGTGATACTACGAGACAAGCCAGTGGTGGACAAGTGCAGTGACAAGAGACAGTCCAAGGTTCTTGATATGGTTAAGAGTTTCCAGAAACTTGAGGTCAGCTGATGTAGAAAACATTTCAGAGATTAATTAGCAAAGTCTGCCTCTGAGCAGTTAACACAAACTGACCTCCCTCAAGGCTGAACCACTTACTTCCCCTGGTACACTTAACTCCCTGGAGGATGTTAACCGCCATGTTAGTTTGGGGACAATATATTACCTGTGAAGAGGAAAATGATGTGTTGAAGACTATACTGATACATGTGATGTCTGGGAAAAAGAATACACTTCTCATCCAAAATTAAGCTTAAAAGCTTCCATTTTCTTTTCAGATAGTGAAAGTAATGATATGCTTACCTCCCCATAGCATTGGGTGAGCTTACCTCCCCTTACAATGTGATGTAAGCATATACCTCCCCTTGCATGGTGCTGAGCTGACTACCCCTTCCTCAGACCATGAACACTTATAAGTAAGTGATGATCAGCACACCAGGACATTAGACTAAACTACTGCAAATTATTTACAACTACAGCTATTTACCGTTACAATGATCCAGATTGTTTTGTGCCAGCTTTTAGTGTTAAAGGAAATTTAGTGTCGTCTGCTTTTTATTTTGAAACTTAGGGAACATTGACTTGGATGATCATGAAATGTTTAAAGCATGATTGATATTGTTATGAAAAAATTGTTTAAAATTCATCAATATTTGATTATGTCAGTAAAACGCATCAAAAAAGTGATTGAGTCAACAACTGTTAAGGATATCAGATAATACCATTATTATTTGTCATGACAACACAAGATAAATGACCCAGTCTGGGCATTTTGATGCATTTATACATTATTGTCATAGCTGCCACCACTGTATCATAGAAACTGGTATACTGACTTTGTGTCTTGCATTTTGGGTCATTCCATATTGGTTGATATCGCAAATCATGTGAGGTATCTGAAAATTGTGTAAAATAAGCTTTAGAATGAACGTGTTAATTATCTTGAGTGATCAGTGATTACAAAAATCAAATTCTTTTGGAAGCAAGTCCTGCATATAAAAATTGATTTCTGCTGTCAGAATTGTTTTGTGAACAAGTTGATGAGATGTCCAAATAAGAGAAATTTTGTACCGAATATTGAGGAAAGGTAATGATATGTAAATGTCAGTTTATATATACATTGTATTTATTCTTTATTATTATCAAGTGTAATCATATGTAAACATGTTCCTTCTAACTATATGAATTTTAATTTATGCCTTCTTTAATTTACTGTAAATGGAAAAATCCAAACCAATCTTTTTATCTACAATTAGGTAAATATTGGTTTACAAAATGTTAAATGAAAAAATAAAAAGGCATTTTTTTGCTCACCTGAATATTTCCTGATAGAAAAGAAGTCTGAGCTTGTTGGTGTTGAATATATAGAAGAACCAAATATAAATTAACAGTTAAGATCATTCTTGTTGGCCTGGATGGAAGCATTCAAGGGAATACCTGGGGGGAAAACCACATGGTTGGACATTGGTTCTGGGAATCTAACCGCCACGCCTCAGTGAAAGGCAAGTACATTACCACTGCACCGTCCAACCACCAACAAGAAGAGCTATCGCTCTGCTGGCATTATAATCAATATTGGATTGATTGGTATCTAACAAATCATTAAAATTGTTTGTTTCTAAAGTGCAATATATATAGCTATATAAGATGTGTTAATTGTAGTATAAAGGTAGTCATTAATCACCTAAGTTTTTGTGTATATGTAGACTTATTTTAGCTATATAATACCGTCAGTAATGTTATCACTCACTAGAAGGTAGTCATGGGTAGGCACAATTTTCTTCTTACGTTATACACATAGGAATCAGATTAATTTTAATCATCATATGCATTATTGAGAAAATGCAAAGATCTATTTTCTCATAGGATAAAGTCTTAATTTAATTGGTTGACAGATGAGGGTAATCACTTAAGCAATGTGATGGAAGAAAAGGTTTATAAATCAGTGAGTATTGGAAAAAGACATTGATATTTTACTTTGCACAAATATTATGCTTTATTTGGCTATAGGTTCTTGATGGATTTGACCGCCAGTGAAATGTAAGACCTGTGTTGATTTATGAGAAATGTTAGTCTAAGCTAAGAAGCAAAGAACATCCATTTTGTAAATATATTTATGTTATTAGATATTAAAACATTATAAAATTTTAACATTAGTCATTCATTCATGAATCAATGACCAAACCCATAACAGATACAGTAGAAATCAATGGAACGTTAATTAATGTGAAAGCTAAATTAGGATTTAAGATCTAAACTGCTTACATTATCTAAATTAGTAGGTCCAACAGGTACCAGGGCAGTGATGTTTTTAGAAACGGTCATAAAAGCATACATGCTTATTGGAATTATTGTTGACATTCTTGTCAAGTTTTGCAGTACATATATTGTACTTGTTTGTTTCATATTTTCCTGTAGATCTCAAAAAACGGCTTCGTACATATCAAGACGAGCAATTTTTGCTTTTGTTTTTTTTTAAGATTGAAGAAAATCAGGTGTTTGTTAGTATCTATGTTCCAAAGACATCCCGTTCCTGTTTATAGGTATGACCAATTCTATATAGTCCTTCATTACCTGTAAGTTTAGCTGTGTGTAAATACAGGCCCTGTCCTTTTCGGATAGGAAGTTTTGAGTACAGCTTGAGAAAAGCACTTTTTATGAAGGCCATAATTTTATTTTGGTCGTTTTGAGTACAATTCTTCATTAGAGGTCTCTCTCCTGATTTCCATGTCAGAAGGGAATTTGTACATTATCAAGACCTTGTGAACTTACTTTTGTACAGTTAACTATACCACAGCTTGCCAAAACTCTACCATTTCATAATGGATAGTTGGGTAGTATGAAAAGGCATTACAGCTACATGTAGATGACATCATTTATTTATTACAATTAGGTTAGGCCTGTGTTTGAAGGATTTGATTGTCTTAGTTTTAAGTGTGTATTTTTGTTAAAAATTGTATATTAGTGATTTGAAAGGAAAACTTTACAGAATCAAAATTTGAAGGTATATTCTGTGTACAAGTGCTACAAACATATTATTTAACAACATATTCAATTCTTGAAAAGATTTGTCTCTGTCAATCCCAAATGAAAATTTGAAAAGTTTTATTTTATATTAGAGATTTTATCTAGAACGTTTTAACTTACCAAAGAATTTAAGTTTTAAGTTGTCAAAAGTAGATAATTCAAACTATGATAATTTATCACTGGATAAACAAGACTAAGGTTTTGAAATTACAAAGAAATTATTTTTACGTATGATTATTATGTTTCTCGAAATTCATTGCTGTAACTTGGTGCTTGTCTATTCATCCGTCATACATAGGTATTACTTGTGAAAGGACCTTCCTAATACCAAAGAGAGCCTTAGGCTGTCCTGGCATGTCTGTCTGGCAGTCCGTCTATCTGGATGTGTACACCAGACAATAATGATGAAAGTACAAGAAATATTAGCTCTGTCCTTGTGATAGACCATGACAGCTATGTTCATTATCCATTGTCTGTATGTAAATATAAAATACAAATTTATTAAAAAAAATACACAGTTTTTTATACGAGGCTTGAGTTATTTTTTCGTATCAAGGAAAATACTATCGTTTGGTCTGTTTTTACTCTCGATCTCATTGGTGGAGTCATCTTACTAATAAATAGGCTCCTGGATTTGATTGGTGGGGTTATCTTACCAGTAAACGTTTTCCATTCTATATACATATACGTGATATGCTCATTACATGTTGCTTAGAATCGCTTATTTTGATGCATAACTGAACACAAATATTTCATTTTATTGATACTGCAATTTGAAAAAGATTGACTAAATATCAGGATATAGATAAAAATAAAATAAAGAAGAAAATGGGCCACAGAAGAAGGGTTATCCCTCAAATTGGTAACAATGAGGTACTTAAACTAACTTAACTGAAAGCATCTTCAATTAACTTGTTAAGTATCGAGTGTGTCGCCCATGAAAATCAATTACAGCTATACAGCCGACTTGCTCAAAATGTACATTTGGTTTTGTCGCATTATGCTCCATTCTTCTACCAAATCTTTAACAGCTCATAGTGTCCAAAACTGAACAGTTCTGAGAGGGAAACCAGTGTTCCATGGGATTAAGTTCATTGGATAGTCCCATGCTCCAGATAATGCATACTCAATCTTCCTTTATGTGTCCTAACATCATCACCCATAAGGTTTGATGTCAATATCGATAGGTTCACCTTAGTGTTTGACATCAATGATTTCATAGCAGTAAATCTGGGCCGTATGGGTACCATTCTGAAGGACAAAGAGCTGTCGAGGTCAGCTAAGGCCTCCGCACTGAATCGGGCGGTTAAGGGAACTGGTAGTGCTGATGACCGTAAAGCAGCAGTATTAAGACGAATCATAACTGTCTGTGTGGTTACCAGTGAACCAGAGTTACTCCGATGTTTTCGTGACGCCGATGCAGTCTGGAATCTGTGGGGCAGAGCTAAGATAGGTCTTGGCGTGATCTTGTAGCCGACCTCCATCATGACGCATGAAAAGGCTGTATCCCGTATATTTACTATGTATTATCCGAGTAGAGATTGATATTTTGGGATGATGTCTTTTTAGTCGTTTCTGTCTTATCTAAGTCATATTTTGTGTAATCTTGACGCTCATACAATCTGTTTCGTTCAAGAACTTTGTAATAATTACAGAAGTTATTTTATTCTTTTCATGAATGGATCAGGATACGACATGTGCATCTCGTCGACACAAAAATATAGTTCTAAAGCTTGATAAGATAGAATGCATACTGTTAATTAGGACGTATGTTTCTGCAACTTTCTGATCAATCCATCAATGTAAACATTCAAACATCTTGCCAAATGTCAGAAATTGGTTTCTGTCAAGAGGCGGCACTAGAAGTGACTTTCAACCGTCTGTGTGAATTATTCATTCTACTTTCAAATTTAAGCTTCAACTGTTTATCTTGTGCACTTTGAATTTGCATTTTTCAATCACACTATCGCGAGCCGTAACCCCACAGTCGCCTTGCTTATTTTACAAGAATTCTGTCAGTTTGTCACGTGCAACTGCTCAGATTACAAAACTGGTTTTTGAAGCTCAAACTAAAAATAAAGCATATTAAATTGTCCAAGAGCTGTCACGATGGAGTATAAGGTAGCACGGTCCGTCTCAGATTCACTTCTCTGGAAAAGGATGTGAATTTAAATTTAACTAAGTGGTACGATGTTCTGGATGAATGGTGATCACAATGTTCGCAGACCATCCTCACCTGTGGTTCCGTTTTGTCAGAATCTGGTTAAGGTGATGTCACGGTAAAATGTGCTGTTCATGGTGTTACATATATCTAAATTATTTGATTTCGTTAATCAGTATGTGTTGTTTTATGGACGTTGCTACAGTAAGATGCATTTGATACATACAATCACGTTTCTACACTTCACTACTTTTTCAGTTGAGTATAAGGGAGATAACTCGAACATACTTAAAGAATAAATTTGTTTGCATCGCGTTGTGGTAGTACACCTGTCAAATGTAATGCAAACATCTGAGATTAATTTTTATTTCTTATTTTAAGTCCTCGAGATTTCCCGAAACCCAATAAGTCACATTTTAATTCATTTGCATGTTGACAAAGTTCATAATATATATTTTAAATGTAGCTGATGTGGGACCCATGTTTTAGAGGTGATTTAAGTGGGACAACTGTGTTAGAAGTAACTGATGTAAGACACCTGTGATGAGGTCACTGGTTTGGCACCCCAGTTTTAGATGTAACTGATGTGGGACCACTGTGTTAGATATAACTGATGTGGGACCCAGTTGACCGATGTTGGACCCATGTTTTAGAGGTAACTGATGTGGGATACCATTGTGTGAGAGGTAACTGATGTAGGACAACTGTTTTAGGGGTAACTGATGTGGTACAACTGTTTTAGAGGTAACGGATGTTGGACACCTGTGATAGAGGTGATTGGTTTAGCACCTCTGATTTCGAGGTAACTGATGTGGGACCTACGTGTTAGAGGTAACTAGTGCGAGACCCCAGTTGACCGATGTTGGACCCATGCTTTAGAGGTAACTGATGTGAGACCACTGTGTTAGAGGTTACTAATGTGGGATGATCCCATTTGACCGATGTAGGACCCATGTTTTAGAGGTAACTGATGTGGGTTACCTGTGTTAGGTGTGAGTGGTATGGCACTTCTTGCTCTCTGCTTTCACAGCAGCTATTAATAAGTTGTCAGTAAGAACTGGTTGGCTCGTGGCCAGTATACTGTGACCGGAAGTGTTCCATTTTACTGTTTCAATGTTATGTCATTTCAGTGTGATAGCACTGTACATGCCCTTGAATGATGTCATTAACCGTGGACAATGTCATTATATTTCACTGAAATTGTTATGAAGATGTGAAACTTCGGATTACAAACCCAATCACTGTTAATCATAATTATATCTGATAATATGCACTCTTGATAAGGAAATATTTGCAATAACTTCCATGTCTCGCCGATAACAGTTAAGCTTGATATTATTATCTTATCTAACTTCCCGAGGTGCCGAACCTGCGTATCGAATAGATATTGTCGATAACCACATGACTCCATTTGATATTTATAGTAACGAAATGATAAACTCGTAATTGTTTACTTTCTCTTTGGCCTGTTGTATATAAGTACAAAGATAATCGCATTGGCTGGAAGTTAAACTCTATAGATACTGTAACAAAGTGATACCTTAGACCACTGCTAACATGACAAAGCTACCTTTGAAAGTTTAGAATGTCGTAAGAACTCTGAGGCGAAGGCAGCTGATACATCGGGGCATATTTGCCACAATGTGCAAACAAAAACTTCAACGTTTCTGATCTGTTCTTTCTGTAAGGATATATTTGCCAAGTATTGTTCCTGGGAGTCACTTAACTCACTATATAGTGAATTTTCCATGCGAAATGCATGCACTTTGGCCTGAGGAAAACTGTCTTTTTATTTGGCTTAACGTCATTTTTCGGCTACAAAACGCTGTGTAAAAAGGCTAAAATGTTACATTTCACGTTTTCGCGACAACAAACCACCATTGATAGAAGCAAAACAGGCATCTATCGTACTTGGTGTTAGGACATCACGCAGCAGGCGCCTTCGTCTCCGGAACGTCGCCTAATATATACAAAAAGTGCTGTTGAAGATTATAACATGCCATTAAACTTTCTGTTTACGGTACTTCATTTGCAATAAAAGATTAAAGACAAAGGAAAACGACGAACTCATTTAAAGTAAAAATAGACTTTATTGGCAAGAGTTTCTATTCCCGGCCCGAACACATCCTCACGATTGCACTGTACGCCGAGACTAGACAACGCCCGGACGGCACGTAAAGCTCCCATTAGACGGACAGACCGGTCAGAACAGATTCAATCACAGCAGTCCCATGGTAAAAAATACGGCCAAAAGTCATATCAGTGATACCGGTCCATCCATAAAATGGGCAATACAGTTACGGGAATATTTCACATTTCTTAATAAAATGGATTGAAATATACATTTATTATATACAACAGCATTTTAATCGTATCACCACTGTATCTACAAACAATACAACCAACACAATACTTCCGTAAGTTACAACAAATGTCTTTCTTTTGAAATTGATATCTCTCATATTGAAGTACAACAGCCTAGGCGACCTCAGAGTTCGTGCTATATACCCCACAGTGTTTTATTACCTGTCACAAAACACGTGGTGTATATGGCACATGTCTACACATAAAACTAAAGTCTACAAGTCGTTAAATATACAACAGCAAGGTGAAATAAAGACAACAATCATACTAAATCATCTCAACAGAAATAATCTCTTACTAGGTCAAAATGGCCGATATGCTAAATATAACCTATTTTTTATTTTACATGTACCTACTCTGTAGGTCAGCTATACTATCAAAGTTATTGGAGGTCGTCAATCACAACATGGTATAAACTATAGCATATTTATACTTGTTCCTAATCTGTAAGAGTTTGACTTTATGTCTACAAATATACTTCTTTTTACTTCAGCTAAGCATGGCCTTGTGTTTCAGATCGCTTGTATATTTCCATTATCTCTGATGCTGATTGTTTGATCAAGAAAACTCCATGAACCGATTGTTATTAAATTTCAAACTAAACTAAATGTTGACTTGTCATGGTACGAAACTATGACGTCACTGTTGTCCCCGAGTGTCATGTATCAATAATGATGATATTGTTAACTATACCCTAACCTTGTACATCTATATATATATATATATAATGGCACAATATGCGATTTAGTTATTTCTTTGAAATCCATAAAACGTCTCGGAACTGATCGAGATCACATCGAATACACTCTGGACTTATCATCCAACCAGTGATATTTCGAAACCACTCTGGTTTTTCATTAACTACTAGAATACACCTTACTTCTATGATCGGATGATTTCAGGAAATTTCTCGTCCCAACTCAGGACTCATCACATTTCTAGTACATTTTAATTACCCCCTGATCGAGAAGAGCTGATGAGGTCGACCGCCGGGTAAGTGTTCCTATCTCCAACATGACACACTTTCTGTAACTTTCTAGATTAGATTTCAGCACGCATATTATATATATAACATGTGTTCATGTAGTTAAGGATTTTAATGGAGGTTTTACCTGCAGGAATCAAATAAAAATATAAATAATTTGGTTAAAACGAATATCATACAAAAATTAAAAAAAAAAAATTTCTTCAATGAATTTTTACAATCAAGTCTGTAACAATTGTGTAAATGAAAGGACACTGCTTTCTGTTTGTTCGCTGGGTTTATGGCCGTGGGGCAGTCAGGATCAATTGGAGGCGGGGTCTCCTTGCAGAAACTGGTGGTTTTTTTCTCCAAACAACATAATGGAGGCCTGTCGTATGCCATCCAGGACAACCAGGGTATTGTTTCTTGCCCAAGACACAACCACGTCAGCAAAGACCTGTCCGTTTCATAGCTTCATGAGAAACAAACAACCACGGTAAGGAGAGTCGAACCACGCATCTCGGCTGTTCACCTAACGCTAAGGTTGTTTTATCTGGTCGAATCGCAGCCCCTTTAACTTACACTGATAAAAAGTGAAAATTCCAGGACAGAGGTATAAACAATCTACAGTGGCAATATAATGATAACAATACATAAATTATAAACAATCGTGTCAGGCATTGGTTAGAGCAGAACATTGGTAGTGTTAGATTCACGCCAAAATCTGTATTCACATAACTATCGATAACAGCTTACACAATAATTCAATATTGAAAAAGTGTCAATTATAACTGGGGGATGAATGGCGTTCACAGAATCCTCACGTAACCCATGGCAAAACAATGACATTCACAGAGAATCCACACAGGACTAAACTTCGACATTCACAGGGCACTCACTCATGCAGTACTGGAATGGCCAGGTACGGAAGCGCATTCCGGCCACGTTGTGTTTTATTTTATCTCGAAATTTTGAGTTAGTAAGTCGAACTCGAAATTTCGAGATAACAACTCGAAATTGCGACTTACTAACTCAAAATTTCGGATTACTAACTCGAAATTTCGAGTTGCTACCTCGAAATTTCGGGTTAATATCTGAAAATTTCGGATTATCAACTCAAAATTTCGGATTACTAACTCGAAATTTCGAGTTACTATCTTCGGAATGCCAGCACATGCCCAACCATGGCAACCCGATTACGAATGTCTACACGTACCCAGCCATTGGACCCGACTTCCGAACTGAACACTTCAAACCCGAGATGGAATCAGTACGAATACGTCTTTATTTTCATACCCATTAAATACGTAATGTGTTCCAGGTGGATGTTAACTCTAGACAAGCTACATACTAACTAAGCAGATTCATTCAGACTTGCACACGTTTTAATGACATGTATATAGTACAACTTGTGGCCTGAGTGATTGTGACCATATGATTTTCGAGTACGATATGCATTTGAGCAGATGTATAGCGGATAAGGTCGTTGGTTGCAGACCACCAGTCTATAAATATTTTACATACGAGGCAAATTAAGTAGGACAATCTTCTAAACAGAAAACATATCATTCTGTATGACGTCTTAATCATTCTTACATCATAACTTCATTCATTTATCACATCTATGACGTCATAATAAACATGATACATGACGTTCCATTTTACAGGAAACATGACGTCATTTATTAGATCACAATAGCTTAGTTTTCGCACGCACGTGACGTCATTCTTGTTGATCCAAACACATGTCACACCTGAGCAGTCCATTTTCATCACATTGCATGCATCGTAGTGCACTAAATTCCTCTGTGAAATAGTTCCGTTTCAGTGACTTTTTGCTGCCGTGACAGAACGTACACGGAACATATCGATACCCTCCACATTTCTCACATGACGAACGAACGTTGATTTTCTGGAAACCGAAAAAGAACACATTAGAGAAGTAAATAGCTCGTTCAAAGAGAGAGAGAGTGAAAAAAAAACAGAATCCGGAACTCGGTGTTAAGATCTTTTTTTTAATGAACCAATACTAAGGCCTCGAATAAAACCTTTATTACAAACGGAAGACAAGAAGACCATACGTCACACACACTCTGTCTGGTAGATAGGATATGAACTAACCTAATAGTTCGGAGACAAATGTGTCTGGAGAAACATTACTGCATGAAATAAAATATATGTTGTATACATCTTTAGTAAAAAAAAATAAGGACATGATAAGTATTTAACTAATCCATCTGACCTTGAACTTACAGCTCTATATAATTTAAACATGCTGTCTTGAACATTACATGTTTTCGATAGTGTCCCCTCCAGCTTTACACGAGGCTCTAGCGTTATAATTGAATACTTACGGTAAAATTTGATAACAGTTTCCGAAGTTCACCTTCCTCGTTCAGATCTTCGAGCTGCTGCATGCCCTGTAATTATCAAACAGACCGTGAGGTTAGATAGCTAGGATGACATAATATACAGAGACAGGTGTAATGAAAGTCGTGATTTAGGCTAATGACTGTCTTCCTGGTCACAACCTAGGCAATATATTCCACGTGTCTGTCTGTAGGTTGTAAAACTTTCAAGGAACTCGATGAATTGACCCTTGAAATGACATGGACTCTAAATCTATTTGCTCATGACATCAATATATCACTAAAATGGTCTAGACAATTACATTTCATTCTCAGACTAACAACACTGCGATAAAATTATTTATTACACAGTATTTTAAATCTGCTGCTAGGAAACAATCAATCACAGTTGGTTTAAAGGAGATCAGTAACTGGGACCTGGGTACATGTACTTAGTGTGGAATAACGACTTTCAATTATCGTGGTAATAAATGCAAAATGTGCTGTTTAAACGCTGTCTCTTTCACCAGAGTCTGTTAGTTGGTAAAACGTGAATCAGATTGGTCAGTAGATTGGTATTCAATAGATCTATGACACACCACATCTGTTACTAAAATACTCTATATAAAATAGTCTGTATAATTTGTACAAGGAAGAGTCATCCAACTTAACAATACACACCCATATAGACTTAAAGATTATAGATTGGTAAGATTCGTCTAATATATCAGGAAGTCGTTTTGATATCGGGAACAGGTGCGCGTGATACTGGAATTTTCTTCCCTGTTATTTCTACAGTGGAGTTTACGTTCGAATCTTCCCTGCAGAGAAAATTTCGTTTAAATCTCAACAAAGTAAATGATTATTTTTTATTTTACTTACCCCGAGGGCGACGCCATCAGCGAAAACCTGCGGTAGCACCACCTCGTCAACACCTAATCGTTCCCTGAGCTCGCGCTGGTTCTCAACGCTCATAAAAAGGTCCTTTTCTTCATATCGGACCATGTGAGTCTGCAGGATTTTCTTAGCTAGGATACACCTCTCGTAAGTTTCCCGGACAATCGCCATACTGGACGTGTAGATAACGATCTTTCCCTTCTCCAGCTGACTGTAATTTCTCTGTAACGTAAACCACAAATTACTGACAAGTCACGGATTATAACAGTATTACTGACATAATCAAGGAGTAATACAACAGAAAATAAGTATAAATTGTATAAAACTGAAACATTACAGAAATTAACCTATATATATATACTATAATCAATCATAACGTAATATCACATATATTCTTGTTATGACCTTCGGATGCAGAGCTATGGAGACGTTCATTCAACTTGACCTTTTTTTAGGAAATTTGTCAAGGAAACTACGGCCTTCCCAATATATTCGGCTGTCCCCAATTTTACGAATTCGTGATAATGGACATCCTTACTGAAGTCTGTCAATGAAACCTTCGCTGACCATTTTCGCATGTGTCCCCAGTACGTTCCAGTTTGTCCATTATATTACACCACTTTTCTGGTTGTCCAGTTCGATATTCTAATGTTACATCCGGGTTGAATAACAAATAGCTAAACACAGCACTGACTGTTATAGTCACACTGATATAGATATTTATTGATAAATCACTTTCCAGTAGAAAGAAATTAAACTCTCATCACTGACACGTAAAAGACATTGTTTGTTAAAACAGATGTATAATAAACGTAATCAAAACTATGAATGAAGTATCCATGGGGACAAGTTGAAAATTAAGAATAGAAAAAGGTCAATGACAAGACCGGAACAAGGTCAATAGCGAGATGTGAGCAAGGTCAATATCGACATGGGAGCAAGGTCAATAGCAACATGGGAGCAAGGTCAATATCGACATGGGAGCAAGGTCAATAGCAACATGGGAGCAAGGTCAATATCGACATGGGAGCAAGGTCAATATCGACATGTGAGCAAGGTCAATATCGACATGGGAGCAAGGTCAATAACGACATGGGAGCAAGGTCAATAGCGAGATGGGAGCAAGGTCAAATATAAGACAGAAGAAAGTCAATGGTGAGACACAAAAAAGTTCAATGTCGATACTGGAACCAGGTAGCTGGCGAGACCGAAACAAGGTCAATGCAAGACGGGATCGCGGTCGATGTTGAAACAACAACAAGAAAATTGGTATGCAGGAACAAGGTCAACGGTAAGACAAAAACAGAGGAATTGGTGAAACAGGATCGCACAAGGCCAGTGATAACACAGGAACAAGGCAAATGGTGACACAGGAACAAGACAAATGGTGAAACAGGAAGTAGGCAAATGGTGAAACAGAAACTAGGAAAATGGTGAAACAGGATCGAACAAGGCCAGTGGTAACACAGGAACAAGGCAAATGGTGACACAGGAACAAGACAAATGGTGAAACAGGAAGTAGGCAAATGGTGAAACAGGAAGTAGGCAAATGGTGAAACAGGAACTAGGCAAATGGTGAAACAGGAACTAGGAAAATGGTGAAACAGGAACTAGGCAAATGGTGAAACAGGAACTAGGCAAATGGTTAAACAGGAACTAGGCAAATGGCGGAACGGGAATAAAGTAATGGTGAGACGAGGACAAGGTTTTATTGGGACAGGAACAAAGTCATGGGTGCGATAAAAAAAACAAAGCCTAGTCCCCACTTCAAAACACGCGAATGTATGCCAAGCTCGTTTCCTTTAATTGAGATTTCTTTTCAATGATTCAGTGAAGTGTACATTAAACTAGACACTTCCTTATCAAATTAGGTTTACTATGGATATACACCTATACTCTCAGACTAATTAAGGTGTGCCGTGCTGTTTACGGAAATTTTGAATGGTTTTCAATATGTGGAGTGAAATTGAAGTCTATTCACATCGCGCTGATGTTGGTGTTGAGATCTAGTAAGGTTTTCCTGGTTTAGATTAGTTTAACCCAAGGCAATTTTTTAAACAGAAGATTGCGCATGACTAGCGCATCTTCTTTTTTCTAGTTTTCATTAAGCATACACCTGTGATGAAGAGTGAAAGGAAATGAATAACTCATATAGGTCTGAAAATGATTCTCTGACATCAAGCTATTTCCAATTAACTGAATTTTCACATTTAGTCCATTTGTGTGGCTATCGGCGCGAGTTAGGTGCTGGGACGTTGAATCGTCACGAACGTTATCGACGTTTTTAGGTAACTACTGCGTGTTAACGACTAAGACTAGAACACCTAAGTTAGGTTGATACAACTCAGTCGCATTTCTATTGGCAAATAACCTTATACAAGATCACCACCTAAGTGTCACAACAAGCAGGACAGACATCAACTTGGCTGCGAAATACCGAAAAGGTCGAAATGAAGTGTGACAAATAAAAACATCAAAAGTATATAAAAATGGGCCAAAACAAACAAAATATTTTTTAAATGACCACGAATCAGGTCACAGCACACAGATCCATCAGACGTTATCAAAAACAGTGAAAACTTCATTACATCGCTTAAAGTTGTGACAATAAACATTTCGATCATATGAACAAGAAAACAGTGATGTGTATACTACATACGACAATATGTACTGGCACTGAGTTGTCAATGTGTTATACTGTTTGTCAGTGTCTCTTTCTTTAATCATTTATTGTATGTTAATTTAAATTCGTGTATAAGTATATTCAATAAAAAAAAAATCTTCCCGTGTCTATTTGACACGTCGTTCAAAGCCTTGCACGCACTTGTTCTTGACGTCACAATTAACCACATGCATTTTGTATGTAAATAAAATCTAGCCATTCATCACACGACCCAATTGTCTGTCTGAAACACTCGGTGACCCCCAGACGTACATTATTAGATACTTTTAATTATGGAGATGATCAATTCCCAAGCAGAAGCGCAAGTTGGTCACGTGACTTAACTTTAACCAAATAGGAATAGATATGTACATAATTAATAAGGATCAACTCGGAGATACATATACTTTTATTTCCGGGCTCTGTTGGGCGGAATTACCTGTGAAACGTGTGTATATGCAATACAGGGAAAGAGCGTGATATAACTTGTCTTTCCACACCGAAGATATTCTTAGAACTCTCATATTCTTCAAACTTTCAACAGGAAATGTTATTCTACACTACTTCTTCCCTGTATAAAGGCTTCCTTCTGAAACATTATAATCCAGCCGATATTTATATGAATCAGTGACTGGACACGCGGATGTAATTCCTTCTCCGCAAACATGTCCGGTCACACACAAGGAAGAATTGTCAAACCTGCAGCTGAGATGTTAAATGCCTCAACTGTGTCACAAGTGAAAAACCACCAACCAATATTCACAAATAGTCAACTGTAGTCATAATAGTTTCTGTGTGGACCTTACAAAGCCAGAAAAAACGTATCTCGGAGACGTGTCCGATCAAAGGTGTCTCACAACTTACTTTCTATCTGCCAGGGGATGTCGCCGCGAGGAATTTATCAATTGTACAATAAATCAATGGTTCTTTACTTGAAATGTCATATCTAAATTCGGTCCTCATGGTTTTAGTCTCCTCTCTGAGGCCATATGAAGGGCAACGTCTCGGAGATAACAATGATTCTACTGGGAAACAATTACCATTCAGACAATGGAATCGTTAGTATGTCTCGATATTATCATTCAGTAAGAACTCATTTTCCTCAAATTGTTTTAAAGAAACTGACGTCACATCAACAAGTACCAAACTTGGTAAAACATGAGACGCCACATTTGGTTTCGTTTTGTAAAACTTACTAGCATATCAAATTGTTCTAGTGCATTATGGGATATGTTTATAGTTTGAATTTCATATCATCAACGTCGGCATATCCTCCTGAGGATTGCACAAATGACAAACAAGTAAATAAAAGTAACATCAAAGCACCAAGGTCTTAAACACGTCTGAAGTTTGGGAACAACAATATCGTGTATTATCTAAATTTGGTTAAAGGACAATGTCTTACCAAGGAGAGGCAAAGGCAATACCGGTCAAAATTCTGTTAAAGGCCAAGACGTGTCAAATGTGGTGAAAAGGTCAACTTCTGTCCAATACAGAGGAACAGGGCCAACACCAATATGGGGGAAAAGGCAATACTTGTCCAATATGGAGAAAACAAGGAAACACTTGTCCGCTATGGATGAACGGACAACTTTTGAAACGTGTTATGGAATTCAATGAGAGGAAAGAACAATTAAATCTACAATGATAAATGTAAAAATAATCATTAAGCAGTGGTATTGAGAACTATGTAGTTTGACCTCTGACCCAGCATCATTGTCAACGCAAGTGTACAATGAACCGGAAGTGACCCCGTTACTGAATAAACAACGAAACCGACGATACAAATATTGACATAACTTGTACAGACATCATCAAAATAACAGATTAACATTTTACTTTTTTATCACGCAGATCAAAATAACTCGATTTGACCGTTTACAAACCAATGGACACAATCCTGGGATTAAGATTTAAATGTCAACGGTACATTGTTAAACAGGATCGCAGACAACTTTCCGGTGACTATCAATAACGTTTGTTGGTTCTTGTGTTAGTGATAGCATATACCCTTCCGAATCTGTGAACTAATATTGACACGGCCACACTGACACACATCAGGTTTATTCCTAGTGACATCATTACACAAGATTAATACCAGTATCTCTCACTGTCGATCGTGTCCTCCTGGAACATGAGCCCTAACCAGCAGTACAAAAGTCTTTACCTCATGGTTTGTTTTGGGGATCTCATAAGATCCACGCGACTAAAGCTGTACCCATAGCAAATACGACTCTCGCACATCATCGACAAATTTCCACACACAAAAAAAAGAAAGTATCTTTCATACAATAATGCAGGTGTTAGGTTTCTATGGTAACCTACTATATAAACGCCCATAATGTCATTCGATGTAAAATCATCTGCACTATCAAGTGACATTCGTGACTAGGTTTAACAAACCCTTTGTATTGACAAAATTATCCTACACATTTCTGCTGTGAGCTTAAAACATTATATATAGCCATGTTGTATATGACAGGTAATTCACTGGGAGTTGAAAGAGAAGTGCTGAACATACGACCTCATCTACTGGATGCTGTGACACTTGTGTCCAGAG